TGTGTGTGTGTGCGTGTGTGTGTGTGTGCGTGCGTGCGTGTGTCTCCTGCTGAGTCTGTGATCACACATCCTCTCTGACTGCATCCTACAGCCACACACAACTGAGATTGCTCTGGCAAGCCCTTGCACAAGCGTTGTTTATTTGGTCTGTGTGTGTGTGTGGATGTGTGTCCCCACATCTTCGGCTAGTTACCATGGAAATAGGCCAAGCAGCAGGCACGCGGGGGAAAAGCCGAACCATGTGATTTAACAGAGAAACACACTGCGCTGCACTGGTTGTGAAAGCACACACACATACACACACACACACACACAAACACACACACACACCAATGCACCGCACAGAGACACACATACTGGCACACACAAGGGTGGCAAGTGATGATGATGTGTATTGATGGTGGAGAGTTCCTGGAAGCCAGACTGAGTCAAGGCACAAGTCAGTCAAACTCCCTGACCCTTCCCTGGCAGGCATAAGGAGACCGGGACCTGTGGTCGCAGCCCAGACCACACATGGAAGACATTTCCCTGTGTGATGTCGAGGTGAGGATAATGGTGGTGCATCCAGACACACAGTGTGCGTGGTGAGTGTATGTGTGTGTGTGTGTGTGTGTGTGTGTGTGTGTGTGTAGTCTGTGTTGTGTGGCTTCATCTTCTAACCTTGTGGAAATCTGACCCAGTTTGTAAAAGAAGTAAGGTCCTGACTTCTTCAGTGGTCAGAATGGAGATGAAGGGTTTTTAAATTTAGGATCAAGTGCAGATTAGACTCAGTGTGCAACTCATACTACTGATTCAACTACTGATACTATACAAATACTTATAGTACTCTAACTTCTATATATTAGATACCATTTCTTCTTCTGTGGCTACTCTTGCAACTGCCACCATCATGGGTGTTTCAAGGGGCCCCAGGCAAAAGGGATGACAGCTCTCAAAAGTGAAGCCCAATGCATCATGGTTTCCACCTGGTATCATGGTGCAGTATAAATCATAAACCCCACCTAATCCATGTTAGTGGATGGGACATGGGTCAAACTAAAAAGTGAATTTCTAATAAATTCGTACATGGGACATTTTGACTTCATTTCTGGACAGTGGAGGGATCCATGGACTGTACATAACACAGTCTGTGCATTTACTGAACACAATTCTACATTAATTACTTTTATCCCTTGATCTTACAAGAGATTGTTTCTGTAATGCTTTCTTTCCTCTGTCATCTCTTCTATAGGCCTCAGATTTTCCCCGGTTGTTGTACTATTTCTCCTACTGCCTTTCCACTATGGAACCCACAGCTCTCCTCTTGCCCTCTGTTCTCTCCCTTGCTCTTTCCTCTCCTTTGCCTCCATTTAATTTCTAAACTTTTCTTGAGCTCATCAAGTGACAAACAGAACTTCAGAAGGAATTTATCAGATGACAGAATCTATTTGAATTCCTATTTGATCCCCTGTGCATTGTGACACATCTCTGATCCACATTGCTGCGATTAATGTAAACATGCTGCAAAAACATCCCTCCACATCCATCTGCCGTGCCATCAGATCAACATTTGAGAGGAGTGGCACGACATATGACACACGGCTCAAGCTTTCTTTCCACTTTCCACTCCTAATCTGACTTCCATTGCTTGCTGTTGTTTACTCTCCTCCTCCCTCTGTCATTCCTTTCCATCTCTCTGCTTTGGAAAGAACATGAGACTTATGTTTTGATGATAAATCATTACGTAAATTTGAGGTCATTTATTTCTTGGGATTGGATTTATCACGAGGCTGTTTAGCTGGGTTTCCATCCAAGTATGCAAATAAAAGCCGGAATGGAAATAACAAAACGCCCAAGTCTCTCTACTATGTCTTTTTTACACCCACCTAAACTGAAAATATTTTAATGAAATGCCAATATTTATCAGTGTGTCCCCAACTTGTGACCCATTTCATGAAGCAGCTTGTTCTCTCACCCCAAATGTTGCATATGTCTATAAGTTCTGAACAGCTACACCAAAGAATATTGCTCAACTTTGATGAATTTTAGAGGCTTAAAAATATTAAACTATTCCATGCATCATATAAAAAGAGCAGTGACTAGAGAGATTATAGACTAAAGTATATGGACACTAAAAAAAACTGAACATCCAAGCATTATACCCATCTGTTACTGTTCAACATCTCATTCAAAAACTTTATGCTGCCATAACGGCCTCCGCACTTCTGGTTTCTGTTTTTGCATATGATTTTGGAACCTGGCTGCAGGAATACTAGACCACAAGTGCATTACTCCAGTCACTGATGTTAGGTGATAAGTCTTGGCTCGCAACCATCTCAAATGTTTTCTGTGGGGTCAAAGTCAGGGCTCTGTGTCCTGGGTCCACATCTTTCTCACAAACAATAATAAACCTCACTATTGTCTCTAAACAATCTCACAGAAAAGTCTATTCAGTAGCTTTTCCAGACCTTCTGATCACATCACACAGTCTCCCTCAGCAGATGGAGTTGCCATATTGTCATTGATCCATATACTGTATGTTCAAATTTCCATTTTACTGAGCTTTTTGAAGATTAAGACTTCAAGGCTGGAAACTTTGGCGGAACAATCCTACCACAAGGTGCATTAGTCACTGGGCTTCCTCATGTGCTTTTGAGCCAACATGATGAAAACGCTTATAAATGCTTTAAATGATGATTGGGTGATACAATGAAATATCCCAGAGACGCTGCTAGATGGACCTTGTGGGCAAATTGTTCAACCTACTGCAGTTTCCAACGAGGAAATCTGAGGTCATTGTCCCAAGTTTGATGATTAACTTTCAAGATCAAATCATTCTACCTTGTAAAGATCGGATATGCTTGACGGATTGAGTTGCATTGTGCCAAGTGTGACGTCGGCACAATGCCTCCCTCGTACTTGGGCTTGAGGTACAGTCTTAAATGTTAGGTGTCACAGCTGAAAAAATACAGCCATACTGTCAGAAAAATGTGAAGAAGAAGAAGAAAAACAAGTCAAGAGAGTTGGAAGACCAGCCAAAACAAAAAACAGTGGAAATGACATCATTTCTGGCTCATGCTGCTACGCTCAAGAACAGGAAATGCGAGCATAAACTGAGCTTTACTTTACATGTCCTTAGATTAGACTGTGTTGAAGCTTCAAGTCCCAACATCTGGAAAAATGCCTCTGCATACTTTTGACCATATGGCCCATACGTCTGACATCTATCTAGAATGTGACCTCATCCAGAGGTCACGTGTAAATAATCCCTTAAAAAAATCAGCATCTTGGTCAAAATCTTGTCTGTTATGTTTTCCAGTGCATGTTCCCATCTCTTGCACTCAACTGTGCGGAAAACATTTCAAATTTCAAGGGCTGACCTCAAATGTTAATAGAAATGCTGTTGATGACATTGTTTTGGACTTTGTATCTACTGTTTCTCTCTCTCTCTATCTCTTCCTGCTGTGGGTTGCTGTGGCTTGGTGACAGTGACACCAGTGTCAAGCAAGCAGAACAAAGAGCTGATGCTGTCCCTGAGGACAATAGCCTGTCTCATACCCTGTCTCCCTCCCACTCAAGCAAACCAAAAGACGTGTTTATATATCCATTTAAAGGAAAGGGGTCCTGACTCTCACAAACCCTGCCCTCCCATCTCCATCCCATTCACTTCTTTTTTGCTCTCTCTCACTTTCTTCCACTGACCTCTGCCTTCAATTCTCATTCACTCTCATCACTTTTCCCCCCTTTCATCTCTGACTCTTTCTTTTCCAATTCCAAAAAACTTCACTTCACATGCATGTGCTCATAACACGCACACACACACACACACACACACACACACACACACACACACACACACACACACACACACACACACACACTGGCTTTCCTGTAACTGGGTTATGTGTAACTTCAAATAGCCATAGTTGACAATGGGGAGAGCCCAGAGTTCATCCTCCCCTCTGGGCTTCACTTTATTACCCCTGAATCTCTGTTGGTGTGTGTCTACCATGAGTGTGAACTTTGTGAACATACAGCAGGCCCACGTGCAGCTGCATGTGTGAGCATATTACTAAGACTGAGACTTTTTTTCCAAGAGTCAAGGTCATTTCCCTGCTCAGACTCTGTAACATTCAAGTATGCATGTGAGAACTCACACATACTCACATGCACGCACACCAAGACACAAACACACATGCACACTCTAACCTAGATGCAACCCATTATCACCAGGGCACACGTGCACTACCCAATCCTATTAGTAGAAAATATAGAAAGGGTTGAATATTTGCTTAATATTTAGGCTATTATGTATACCATCCATATTTACAATGCATGGTGGGAATAATGTGAGGTTTTTAAAGTTTATGTCAGGAGGAGGGGAGGAGAGGAGAGGAAAGACAAGGAGAAGAAAGGAGAGGAACAGGATGAGAGGAGAACAAGGGAATGGGGAAGAAGAAAGAGGGGAGAAATAAGTGGGACATTAGATTGAATAACCAGCCACACGTCAAACATAGAAAAGAGAGAATCCCGCGGATGGAAAAGGTCAAAGGAGACATACAGTGTGAGCGTGCCTCTCTTTTCCTCTCCTCCTTCTTCATCCTCCGGGATGACTTAATCTGTTCTTCCTTATACCTCAACCCTCACATAATCCCACACATGTGGACCCAACCACATCAAGGACACTTTAACGGAACTGTCAGCGATAGACGAAGCCCCTGGGAAGCTAAGACACAAGCTGGGCTCAGTCACACATTACAACGTCTAGAAAGAAATACTCCGAGGATTTAAACCAATTAAAGAGGAATTTAAGGGAATTACATATGCTCTAAATTGTTTCACCACATGGCTGTTTGTCTGCAAATATGCTCAAGAAGTCGAGGAGACCTTGAGATGGAGCAGCACTTGGTAACACGTACAGGATGATGGTGGTTGTGTGTGGATTATGGGGGTGCTGTTTTCATAAATCATAATGAACGCAGCAGGAGACTGTACGAGTCAGACACACTCACAACAACAGGAGAATGTCCATGGCGTTCAGGTGAGGGGTGGCGGTGTCATATGTTTTTGTTTCTTGAGTCTTGTTGAGATATTTGTATTATTTTGTTTGTTGGTTTTTCAGTTTTGCATCCAAGCGTTCCAAACATCATCAACAGTCCCACTTGCTCGCTGTGAAAACTGCAGACATTATTCTGAACTCTCACAATGGCTCACTTGGACAATCCTGGGAGTTTTTACTCGGTGGAGGCTGGCAGGAGAAGTTCCAGAGAATGGTCTCACTCTGACATTTGCGTTCTCACATAAAGCCTGTCCAGATAATTTCAGGAGAATATGCAGATTTCAGTGCATGTTTGAAAGCAGTTTATGAAAGATGTTAAATACAAATGATCAGAGAACTTAAGAGAAAATGAAATTATGTTTAGAACCCAAAGTCAAATCCTTCCTCCTCAGCTCTGAGGATGTTCTTGTCACGTGTCACGTTGCCCTTTCACCAGAGCGACACACAACATCACATAAGGCGTCCTGATTGGTTTGAAATTATTTAGGTAATGCCAGTGGAAACACCCCTGAGGAGAACCATCCTAAGAGGGACGAGGGAAGCCAGGCCTTTTTCTTTTTTTGGCAGCATGGACCGGGGCTGAGAATGAGCTATTTTGTAGATAAAGGTAATGAGAGTTTATAGCTTCCAGGACAATCCTGCTCTACACACAGGATGAAAGGTTGCACGGCCTGGGACGAGAATGTAAGAGGAGGCTACAGTGACGGCTCGTAAACATGTGGAAACAGCTGTGCATACAAGGACATGTAATGCTAAATAAAGGCCTGACTTCGACCTGATGTTTTTAAGCTAAAACAGGATGAGAAGGTAATGTGCACACACATTAACACATACACCCTTAATAACTGTATTTCATCCCTAAAAACTACAAATGATGATAAGTGCAACTTAAAAGTTTTGTTTAACCTCTTCAGGACATTTTTCTCAGCATAAACACTGACCTTGTCAGGACTAGTTGACCTCATGGGGATGAGGCAAAATGTCATTGCTGAGGTTCTTTCTGAGGTTATCCAAAATGAATGGAAATGCAAAATGCATCATTGCAAACAAAGATAACTGCACAAATCTTCTATATCTAAATCTTTCAAGTTTTACAGGTGTGTGTTTGTATTAACTGACCCTATAAAGTTTAATCCTTGACATAGGGTTAAGCCTTGGTTTTAGGTGAAACCAGGCCAAGTTTAATAAGGTTAACTTTAGTATCCAGGAGTTCTTGTGATTCAATGCAATACCCTCACAAGTAGCCAAACACAAATGTGTGTGTTTTTCAAGTTTTGTAAGTACGTAGTTGTATGTACGTGTGCGCGCAGGACAGGACCGTGAGCCCCACTCTACTGTTCAGGCGGGCGGGTGACGTCTGGGGCCCGGTGAGGGGCCAAAGTCATCAATCACGCGGATTGAAACCGCAACGTTAAATCAATGGCGGCCCCCGGGAGCGATGACAGCCGAGCGTGGATCCGCCATGGTGAAAAAAGGCTACGGTCCCTGTTTCATCCATCAACAAGTCCACACAGAGCTGGAGAGTCCGAAACACGCACATACAGGAGAGGACAGGAGCCACGCGCACAGCACAGCTATATGTATAGGCATGGATGCGAGGATGCAGGCATGGAGGGGATGGGACAGCGTGGAGGATAATAACACCTGTGACATGCGAGAAACCCCCCCCCCAATACTGTGTGATGCGACCGGGATGAACTTGAAGGGGGAGGGAGGGGAGATGCCTGGAGGGGGAACCACCGACTCACGCGCAACCTGATGAAATAATAACGTGGACATGATACAGAGCAACAGAGCGGCACGAGGAAGAGTGGTGCTGATGAGAGTCATGATGGAGGGGATGATGATGATGATGATGATGATGATGGAGGGGATGACATCCTCAGAGACTGTCGCACATCTGGAGGGGTGGGGGGGATCACATCTGGCCGACACGTTGACTATATAGCCCCCTCACACCCACTCCCTAAAACACACACGCGTCCCCCCTCACACACACACACACCTTCCCACCCCCTTACATCACCCACGCTCCCCTTCTATCCCATGATGCGTTTGCGTGCTGTGCAGGTTTTTGTGATTTTTTTAACTCACCCCGGGTGCTGTCGCCGCCAGTCTCCGTCCGATCGCGTGTCCCTCCGTGTGATTTTCTACCGAGAGAGGGAGAGAGGGAGCGAGGGAGGGCGAACCGTGGGCGCATCATCCAGCCCCCACCACCACCACCACCAGCGCCATCCAGCGCTCCGGTCGCGGCACGGCGTTCTCGCGATACCGTGCCATCTTTCCAGCCTGCGTGTGTGTGTGTGTGTGTGTGTGTGTGTGTGTGTGTGTGTGTGTGTTTGTGTGACGTAGCGGTTTTCATCAGATGGGTTTGCCCGGCCCGATTGCGCCGCCTACCGGGCACAAGGAGAGAAGCAGGATGTGGCCCTTACCTGTTACACCTCCAGTAACATGGTCCAGTGTCAGATAAGAGTTACTCTGCAGACAGAGTAACTGAGAACTTTTACCTGAGTACTCCCACTGTTGCCAGACTCTACAACACCTTTCTAAATGAAACATTTTCACTCTACTCACTATTTACATACATTTTACTTTATAACATTTCCATACTATGCACATATTCTGATTATTTATTTATTTATTTTTATTCTATTATTTTTACTCTATTACTCTCTTTTTTATATTCATATTCTTTTGTCTACCTCATTCTTACCTGTTGCTGAATTTCCCCGGTGTGTGGATCAATAAAGTTTTATCTTATCTAATCCCTGCTTTGATTGCTTGAGTATTCCGATTTTATGATACTCTTACTTCTACTCCACTACTTTTAGAGTGAAGTTTTACTCTACTTTATTTTACAGCTTTACTGACTAATTACTCCACGGATTAACATTTTCCATCAGACACAAAAGCTCTATGTGAGATACGACCACACAGATTAAACTGTAAATAATTGACACAAGCAGAGAATTTATTAGAGTCCACATCGATCAGCATTTTTCATCTAGAAATGTCATGTTGATATGCTGAGCACTTCTGCCACCACGGAACGCAGAAGACATCTGTTGAATAGGTGTCATTGGAGACCTGCCAGCTCCGGTTTACAGTCACAGCCTGAGTGCGCTGACTATTCATAGTGCAAGTGAGAGGTCATGGGGACAGCGTTTAGTTTGGTCGTGAAGGTGTGCAAGAGAGGAAAAAAACAAAAGTCTAACAAGGCAAATCCATCAAACCTTTTAGGAGTATTTTTGGTCTCCTGGTTGCAGCAGAAAAGACAATATCTCAATTTAAAAATACATTTGGGGGGCTCCAGTTGTTTTTATCATCAAACTCTCAGCAAGAAAATAAAGAAGCACTTTTCCTGAAATGCCAAATATTTATTTTAAATCAAAGATTTAAGGGGTGCTGATAAAAACATTGCTTTTAAAAAGAAATGTTTTGTATTTTTGGCTTTATGTGATGCTACGTCAGTCCAAAGAAATTAGAAAGAAGACATTGGCACCAACTGGAATCAGTAATGTTGCTGACAAATGGCCTCAATCAATCAATCAATCAAATTCTATTATAACAATATATTCAGTTCTTTTCTTTTAAAAATGAATGTGTCTCTGTGTAGATTTGCAATTTGCTTGTTAGGGGAATTGGAAAGATCAAATGCGAAGATTTTAACCACATCCTCAGCAGTGCATGGAGTTTGCTGTCATGGAGATGTCTTAAGTGCCGTCATGTGACTTAAGTGTAAAACTCTGAGCATGGTGGTAACAGGTGGTGGGTGAGATACTGGAACCCTGCCTCTGTTTGGCGACTAAGCAAAATCCCCTCCACTGTAGACGATGGTTTGAAAGCCCCAAAGTCGATGATTCCAAAAAACAAGTAGGTTTATTTAATATATTAACTTGTAATAAAAGTTCTCTAGGAGCAGTATATGCAGTGTTGACATGAGAAGCAGTCAGATGTTCTGTAAAGGGGAGCTTTATTGCATAAGTACATTTTTTTCAAGAGTGCAGGGTGCTTATCTGTTTCTGTTCAAACAGGTCTCACATTAACTTACCACAGTTTGCAAAATCACATAGTACACAGGAGACCGAGGAGACTCTTTGTCCTCTTCCATCAAGTCAGTTTTGAATATTATTTGCTCATTTTCTGTTTTTCTTCAGCAGTTCTACCAGTGCTCATGTTGTCAGTTTGTGTGTCAAGAATTATCATCTGCTCAATGCCTCTCATATATGCACATATATGAGGATCTGTTCTTCATGAAAGTATGTTTGTGAGTCCTATAGTGCATGTACTTGTACTTGGTTTTTCAGGCTACATGTACTGTAATCATGCTTCTGTCTGCACATGTGTTCACAGGTCATCCGTCTCTCCATCAAAGGGCATGTTGTCCACATCCATGTGGATGGTTGAGTTGTCCTCGCTGCACACCCAGCCGATGGGCGTGCGGTTGAATGAGGGCCTTGAGCGGATGTCAGCCTGCAGGGAGGAAAGTGGCTCCAACTCCTCGGGTGCAACGCTGATCTCCGGGATCTCGAAGGCCAGCATCTTGGACGCCTTGTCGTTGCCGCTAAATGGCAGCGCCGTCCTGGGAGAGAAAAAGGGACAAAGCAGGAGGGTGAGGGATCAAGATGAGCAGCATGGGCATCTCACAAAAACAACAAAGTGACACAAAACAAACACAAAGAGACACAAAACAACCTCAAAAAGACACACAATAACCACGGACACACAAAGAG